CAATTACTGCAAAGCCGAAACTCCTCATTCAATTACTACTATTCATTACTACAGTCGCACCCCGTTAGTACGAAACTGACGGGCCAAAGAAAAATAATCGTATTAAGCGGGTTCCGTATATTATATTAGCCTTAATTTAAAGAGAAAAACAATGGATTAGAAGGTGTGTACAACGTGTTTTATATAGAAATAAATATACCTGGACAGAAAATTTTATGTTAGTAACAGGATCCTTGTATTATTGTCTTCGTATCAAGTCAATATTTTGCTAAAAGATTACTATAAATTGGGCCGGGATTTAGAGAAATCATCGTAGTCTCATCAGCGTAACGAGCGAATATGGCCGCCGGAGGCGGTTATTTCGCGAGTAAATATAATATGTATATACATTATGTACTACGTGCGCCCGAGTGTGCGCGTGCGTCTGTGCGTGCGTGTTTACGTGTATATATGTGTACATGTGTGTGCGCACGCGTGTGTGCGTGCGCGTGTTTGTGGGCGTGCGCATGTATGTGTAAGTATATATGTATTCACTAGTAAGTTCCAAATGAGATATAACGCACCTTTATAGTCGTTAGTCAAATACACTCAGATGAGTAATTGAAGTTAGTTAGTGAACCATCTACTTTTTCTATGGCGAAATGAAACGCGGCCCCTGAAACTAAATCTACTTTCCATGTAATCTACACCCGACCATTGCTCTGTAGTCGCCGGCTCGCGATAGTCACCTGATTTAGATTTGATTTTGATTTTAGATTGATATTAGATGATATGATGATGATTAGATAATATGATTTTAAATTGATTTGATTTTAGATTGTTGATGATTAGATTTAGATTTGATGTTGACCGATCAGCGTCCGTATGAATTGCGGCGCGAAAACCCGTGCTCGCGTGCGTGCGTGAGAAAACCCGTGCGCGCGTGCGTGCGTGAGAAAACCCGTGCGCGCGTGCGTGCATGAGAAAACCCGTGCGCGCGTGCGTGCATGAGAAAACCCGTGCGTGCTCATCCCTCGTGTAGCGTGCGCCGTGGTGTGTTAGCTTTCGCGATGCCATTAAATTCGGTATCATTAGGTTTGTAATCGCTCGTAAACAACGTATGATTGATGAATTGTAAATATAGCAGATGGATAGAGCGATTATTTCGTGGAAATTCGCATGAGGTTTTTAGACTACCATGTATATCTGTGGCTGTCTCGATACACCAGGTAGTCATCGTCATCTGGCGATCCGGGGGAGGGGTTATGTAATTCGATCATATAGTTAAGTCGTAAAATTTATCGCTGTAAGCTTAGTTAGTTAATTATTGCGTGGGAAAGCGACGTTGTCACGCAACGAGTCTTGCTAATTCTTCCAGCCACGAGATTGCACTAAGCCGGCGCCAACTGTAGTCGGTGATGTGTGTGGCGACGTAAAACGCGTTGTAGGGTAAATTTCCGTATAGTAGACGAACCAATCTGGGGTCCCCGTGTGTGCATAATTCAGCATGTATAGAAGTCGATTATGTCAAGATATATTTAAGATATATGTATCAAGAGCTAATAATACCTAGAGTGTACAACGGAAAAACATGAAAATTGTGCTATTTCAACGACATGAAAAATTATTCTACTTTGGCCTGCGAGTCTAGAAAATTTATAGGACTTGCATTAAGCTAGAATTCTTGCTCTCTAAAACAAGACCAACCGCTCGTCAATAACAATACCCTAGGCTGAATATGGCTCCTAAACCTCCCACAGGCATCACAGCGCCTCGAATCCACATCAGTCAGCAACCTACACGCCTCTAAAGGCATATTTACACGATGCGTCCTAGACGTCAAATTTGCACGTACGTCTAGGACGCAAGGAATCGTTACTCGGTAAGCTTGGACGTACGTCCAGGACTGAGAACAAATATACACACAGGAGAGAAATAAGGAATTATCTATTTCCTATACCTACTCCTGATATACATTTAGCAATGTGTGTGTGTGTTTGTGTGTGTTGTGTGTGCGTGGCTGGCTGTGCGTGCGCGGTGCGTGTGCGTGTGCGTGTGTGGTGCATGTCCGCTACCACATCACTCAGGCAGACGCGCACGCACATCGCATGTGTGTGTGCGTGTGTGTGCTGCGTTCATGCGTGCGTACGCCAACGTAAGAGACCTACGAGAGAGGCGTGCTGCTGACCGACATTTGCAGCGGCTGTGTCCAGCACACCAGTCACAACAAACAACACACACACCACGCACGTCACGCATCGCACACAACACGCGCGCACGCGCACACCGCACAACTGCACACCACTACACGCGCGCTGCAGGGCGCGCACAAAACACATGCACACACCACACACGCACGCACGCACACAGCACGCACACGCGCACGGCGCACGCGCACACGCACACACACAACACACGCGCGCCGGCCGACACACACGCGCGCGCACACCTCTCACACACAACACACGGTCGCGCGCGCACACCACTTGTCAGACACACACACCACAGACACGCACACACACACACCGCGCGGCGCGCACGATCACAGAAGCACACAACACAGACAGCAAACACTACACACAACAACGCACGCACAACAACGCCCGACCGCACACGCCATCACGCACACGCCACACCCACACGCCAGCACACGCACACACACGCACACAAACAGACCACACATCACACACACCCCACACCACACACACACAACAACAACAGCACAGCCACACCCCGCACCACACACACACCACACACACACACCACACACACACACGGGGCACTGCGTGTACCCCGCGTGTACGTGCGTGTACACGCAGGCACACGCACGTACACGTGGGTACACGCACGTGCACGCACGTACACGCACGTGCACGCTCGTAAGGACCACGTACACGCACGTGCACGCGGGTACACGCACGTACATCATGTGGCAGTGGTGATGATGGCAATGACGATCGCCTTCTGAAACACAGAATGGTGTGCCAGTTTGCTGCAGAGAATTGAAGGCAGCTGTAATCTTTACACATGAAGAAGCTAGGGTTGCATGCATGTCGCAGCATTCAGCATTCGTCAGCTGTTGTCTATAGACATTCGTTGCCGCTTGCGTGTGTGCAGGGCCAGAATTAAGTGTCATTTCGTGGTATAAATCCAGGACGCAATCTCTCTCTCTCTCTCGCTCTACCCCCTCTCTGTCGTAACTGCAAGCGTACTACAGGTTTTGTACTAGATACAATAATGTAACCCAAACCCAAGAGGATAGGGGTTGGGTTGGGTTTGGGTTAGGGTTATCAATGCCAAGGTTAATCAGAGAAGGGAGTCAGAGCTGACTTCATCTTTAGCCTTGACGTTGCAAGATCCTACGCGAAATCCTGCGCGTGTTTCGCCGAAGACGGTTTAGGACTTCCGCCTTCGTGGCCCACGTCTCAGAAGCATGCAGGCATCGAGCTCCTCACCCACGGCGAATACACAACGACCCCGGTGAGCAGTGGTAATGGGCGGTTGGTAAGAAGTGTAGCAGCTGCCGGAATTGTCCCCATGCAACATTTGCAGGCGCGTGATAGTACTAGCTTGCAGCCTCCCCCTGGCAGAGAGCAATGTCTCCAAAGGTAGCACCAAATCATCACCTGCTGCCTCGGTCTCCCATCGATCGGCCGTGCAGTGCTTAGGCCAGCGGGCACACTTGAACTCACGGGTCTGGTGTAGCGGCCCAAACGCCGGCTTGCATTTCTTGTGCACCCAGTAA